AATTAACTTTATTTATACTGGATAGCTCTATCAGTTCTAAACTGTTCTTCCTAGAGGTCCAGTAAGAATCATCTCTTATTGATCCAGTGCTACTACAGGAGGAAACCTAAACTAAACTAACTTTATTTATACTGGATAGCTCTAGCAGTTCTAAACTGTTGTTCCTAGAGGTCCAGTAAGGGTCATCTCTTACTGATCTAGTCTTACTACAGGAGGAAATCTTAACTAAACTAACTATTATCGGTACCTGAAAACTTCCTTAGCAGTGTGAGTTTTTGCTCTTTGCTCGTGGGTGTCCAAGTCCTAAAAATTAAGTTCGGTTTAAATCTATAATGTAGGTTCCAATAAGCACGCGGTAGATGTAGGATGGCAGTTATCTCGTTATATGTAGTATAGTCTTGTATTTGGTGGCAAATAATATACAATTACTTTATGGTTTCCGTGTTTGGATGGCCTGATCCAAACACGGGTTTCGACCAATCAGAGCACGCGTTATATACATGTTATTTTATAAATAGATAGAGAGATGAAGTTTGATTTCTTCGTCCCAGCAAAGCGTCAACATTTCTGAGCTTGACCTCCATGTGTCGTTCGCTTACTGTATTGTAACCCACAAATTGATAAATAAATATCCTTTTAAACTGTCTGCAACATCACGTACTTTTAATGACTTCTGATATTTATCCAACTTCTTCTGAAGCTGAGCAATAACAGCGTTTGACTTGAAGTTTCGTTTTTCAAAAGCTTTCTTGCTCAGCTCCGGGTCAGGATTCTCTTTCACAGACTCCAAATATTCCCCCAGATTCTCTAAAACATAAAATGGAGACGATCAGGGGTCAGGATGTAACTACTGTTTAACTGCAAAATGGATAAAACAGGCTGGGTCTCTTGATTCTTCATTGGGTGAACAAATTTCAGTTTCTAAAACATGACAACGGACCGTCCCTACTGCACTGTAAATTGCGTATTCTCTCCTTCGTTTTCTCAATTTTACGTCTTAGCTTCTGTCGCTCTTCATTCAATCGCTAAAAGAAAAAATTGTCAACTCCGCCATCCTTCCTTTAACAAATCTTACGTTCACTATCATGGTACAATGTTAACCCACCTCAGTATTGTCCATCACATCAGTCACATCATAATTATCAATTCCCTGAATAAAAAGAAATAACTAAAATGTTTACTTTATATAGAACTTACTCTATTTATACTAGATAGCTCTACTCTTATTGATCAAGTATTACTATAGGAGGAAACCTAAACTAAACTAACTTTATTTATACTAGATAGCTCTATCAGTTCTAAATTGTTCTTCCTAGAGGTCCAGTAAGGATCATCTCTTATTGATCCAGTGTTACTGCAAGAGGAAACCTAAACTAAACTAACTTTATTTATACTGGATAGCTCTATCAGTTCTAAACTGTTCTTCCTAGAGTTCCAGTAAGGATCATCTCTTATTGATCCAGTGTTACTACAGGAGGAAACCTAAACTAAACTAGCTTTATTTATACTGGATAGCTCTATCAGTTCTAAACTGTTCTTCCTAGAGTTCCAGTAAGGATCATCTCTTATTCATCCAGTGTTACTACAGGAGGAAACCTAAACTAAACTAGCTTTATTTATACTGGATAGCTCTATCAGTTCTAAACTGTTCTTCCTAGAGTTCCAGTAAGGATCATCTCTTATTGATCCAGTGTTACTACAGGAGGAAACCTAAACTAAACTAACTTTATTTATACTGGATAGCTCTATCAGTTCTAAACTGTTCTTCCTAGAGGTCCAGTAAGGATCATCTCTTATTGATCCAGTGTTACTACAGGAGGGAACCGGAGTACCAGGAGAAATTTCATCCAAAATTTACATTACTGTTTGAGTTTCATTTTCTCCTTACCGATTCACCATCGCCACTGTCCTCATCAGTGACAGACGATCGCGCAGGACTGTGAAATCTCGCCTCAATATCACCATGCACGGCCATACTATGAATAGACTGGGGCGAGATCTCGAAGTTGGTTGAATGACTTTTGTTTGAGAGCAAGTGGTCCACAGAACGACTTCGGTTTTTACGACCGGCACTAAAACAAAACGAAAGTTTTGAGCAATAAAGTTGTCTTAACTGTCGTCATTGTCAGACAGGTGAAATGCCTTGTCTTATCATCTTTCTGCTGTATGCAAATCAGTCTTTACTAAAGATTTTTAGACACACATACTAAACAGGTTTCTGTGCTAGACTCTCCATAGATATTTTCTGTTTTCTCCCATTCTCCTCTTCTTTCATCTCGTCTCCTTCCTAAAATGATATTTCATTTTACTTTTCATCTCATGATGACCTCTCTCATCCATTGCACGGTGAGCACACAGGAAAATCTTTAAGGAGACATTAACATTTTATGATGAGTTCTTGTTATGACATTCATTTAACACATAAAAAGCCTGGTTTATATTATCACAGTTTCTGTGGTCATAGGAGGAATTCTACATAGATAAGTTTTGAAAAACTTCTAAGAAATGTTTCAGAGAACTGACCATGACTCGCTGTTAAACATTCAATTCCCTCCCTTCTCACAAATCCTTCAAAACTTAGAATTTACCTAATATGCAAAATTCCTACTGTGATCACAGAAACTTTGATATTGTCAACCAGGCGTTAGACGCTAAAACAGCGCTCATATAGTTGTTTACACTTCAATTCTTCAAACAACGTACGAAACATACTAAATATATGTCAAAACATTGAAATTAAGGTTTATTACAGCCTTTTCATTGCCAAATTTTAGGTTTGCAGCTGTAATGTAGAATTAGCAAACCTTTCAAGTTTGCTGAGTACAAAACCACTTCTCAAACGATTCCAAAATTTCGTTTCAGAAATGATCATTTGAAATGTTTGAACACAATGACTATGCGACAATACGCTAAGCCAACGCACACATCACAAAAAGACTGGATATACATACCGTTGCCGGAAAAGATAATTTCTAACATAAACAATAAGAGGATACGTAGTCGTCGAGCATAGAATTAGGAAGACAGTATAAGGAACTGACTCCGTTTTCGCCTAAAATCCTGTTTGGAAGTTAAGATAGGGCCTTTTCCCGAAACGCCGGAATAAGGCTGTTATTATTCTTATCTTTTCTGGGTCGTAATTACGACCGACACAAAAATAGTTTAGTATACTACATCGCTGGAACTTGATCTATTTCAATTTGTTTAAAGATCGCTACTTCTACAACAAACAATACAATATATACTGTTAAATATACCTTACACTGACGATATATTTCAAAATACCTCGATGCTAAGCATCATACTCGGTCTCAGAGGTAAAATCTGTTCATTTTAAACATCTTCCAAGCAAGTCGAGACAATAATTAAATATTAATCGTTGTATTCATTTAAATTACAAACAGTCCAATATTGAAATGATGTTGACAGTTGTGTACACAAGTTACACAGAATGTTTATTGTTAGATTGTAGTCGACTCAACGCTTGTCAGCTAAGTAAGGATTAACGACTTTTGCATGAATAAAATGTTAAATGAATATTTGAATGAATGATCTAGAGAATCAGTATATAAAATAGAAGCACACTTTTTCCCATCCTACGCTAATAATCTCGTGATCATTGGTCTTCCCTCAAATATTTTTAAACTTTTTCTATGTCTTGTGGCTTGTGCAGAGATTCGTGAATCTAAATTATATTTGGGTTTCACTAAAACTATCGTACATCAGACGGAGATCAAAGCCGAATTTTGGTGGAAATAGTGGGGGAGGAGCTCACGACCCCCATGGAAAGTCAGGGCTTAGAACGGACCAAAGTCAACGATGAGACGTATGCATGTAATGTACATATGTATCAGTGTATTAATGAACTATGACTGCACAACTAATCTAATTTTACCCTTCATAACAACTACTACAAAGTTTCTTTCAAAACATTGCATTAAAAGAGTACTTAACACAGAGATGAATGGCCATCACTGTTTCAATTTTACAGAAAAACTTTCTTTCGAAGTGTAGACCCTAAGTAACCAAAAAATGTCAAAATTTCACTCTGACCTATCATTGAAACTTTCCCAAGGGAAGGTGCATGACTTTTCAGGGGAGGTGCAAAAATTCTCAGGGGAGGTGCAAAACGATCTCGCCCCCCCCCCCCTCAAAATCTGGCCATGAAATTGGAGGTGAACCTGCAGTTATCAGAGAGAGAAATAATATGTTACATAAATATTTTATTAATTTTTATTTTATTTTATAAGCTTTATTGGACATAGAAATTCTAGATTACAAGGTGAACGTCCAATGGGGTTAGTGCAAACGGGAAAACGAGACCCATGCAAGGCACAACCCCTTTATAAAAGTATGACTAGATAACAAAAAGAAAAAGAAAGAAAAAAGAAGATCTATTTACAGTAAATATATACATAATGCAGTTTAGGAACGATGGCAGGAGCATATAACAGTTCTCTTGTATTTGAAGGCAAATAGAATTGAAAGATATGTAATTTAGAAAGCTGACTGGATTGAGAGGAATACAGCTACCTGGAAAATACATAGCTGGTTGCTCTAGCGAAAATACAATACATGACGATGAATTACCAACCATTTCTTGCATAAGACAAAAAATAGATGAGGTCTATTTGATGTCTGCATATAATTCCCTAAACTTCTTATTCTATTGACTATGCTGGAAGCCGCCAGCAAATGACTTACTTGATCAGTCTCGTGATCTTTTCGTTTCCAAGGTATCATTTTCTTGAAACCTAAATATTTGCTGAGATTAATATAATCTGGTCACAGAGATAGTAAAGGCACATGGGGTGACCCACTCTGAAGTAGACACACCTAACATCATAATTGACCACTATTCCATAGGAAGCAATTTTGTATTGGGGGGGCCGATTAGTCAGGGGCGATAATACAGAATAAGGCACACAGAAGGTCGACTCGAGTAACCGCTGCCATGCCATGATTCATCATCAAAATGCTGACGCCATGGTCCTAGCCAGTGCACGTTCGAGAGGCATTCCCCCCTGGACGTCCGCCATTTTGAATATTATCAGGGGGGTAAATGCCTCTCAAACACGCACTGGCTAGGACCATGGCGTCGGCATTTGATGACGAATTATGGGTTACGCCAAAATCATAGGAAAATCATAGGAAAAACCAAGAAGTCGGCTTTCTGTGTACCTTATTCTGTGGCGATAATTAGCTCATTATATCCCTCTCAAACTTTACAGATTATCGCTAGTTTAAAAATTATTGGGCGGGGGGGGCTGAACCCCCCCCCCCTCATGTCTATGGCCCTGTTGACTCACATAACATCATATTTGACTCACCTAATATCTTCCTGCCGTGGCGTGGTGATGCAGAGGGTGAACAACTCCTGTCTGACGAGGCCAGGGATGAAAAACTGCCGTGTTTGTCATTCACCTTCACTTGTGGGATATCAAGATCTGAAATCATACATCCAGAGGTGTATATAGCTACCAGTGGGGTGACTTTTCCTACCCCCTAGTTTGGAAGGGGCACTTTCTCCCCCCAATCCAAGAGTGGTCTGACAAAAAAGTTGATAATTGAGACTGATTAACCTATTGACTGGCAATGCACCCTACTTTAGTATTTACTCTGTCTAACGCCAGACAATTTTACTTGTTAGTGGTAGAGTACTGCCAGTAAATGATTGTGTTAATAGGAGTAGTCTGTGAATACTCTCAGGTTTTGAAGCATTTTGAGCAGAGGTGAGGCTGGGATAGCAATTGTTTAATAGTCATGTTATAGCTAATGCAATTTTCTACATTTTTGAGGGGAAATTCTTACTAGAGTAAAACAAAAAGTATGCAGCTGAACTTTTTGAGAAACTTATTTCTGCAAATTTTAATTGTTGTAAGGGGGCAGGTGCGTTGTACATTTAGGCCCATCTGAAAGCTTGGGGTAATATTACAAAGGATAAAATCCAAGCTCATCATCAGGGGGGGGGGGGTAAGTAAAGTAATTGCGAAGGATATAGCTCAACCTGACGAGGCAGTTATTTTTATTATCTTTCAATAATTTACTTCTGCAAACCCCAAATAAACCAAACTGTAGTGAAGTTTATTAAAAACCACACAATCATTCCAGCAATCAAGCCACACAATTTCTTTTTTTCATACAGCGTAAACATAAACTGAAATATTGATGGCTTGTGGTCAAATTTCCATTATGAAATTTAAAAGACCTTTTATCAAACCGTCCGTTGTGGCTTCTATTGGAGGAAGCCACTTGTTAATCAGTTGAAATACTAGTTATCATTACCCCTCATCAAATAACGTTGAATTGAATTGAGTAGAATGTAAAATGCTGATCACACAAGAAAAATTTTGTGGAATTCTAAAACTTCAATATATAAAGAAATTATATATTTTTAATACACTAATATAGACGAATACACCCTTCCAGAAAATACGTCACTTTGGCTACAGAGCCTTAATGTTTTTTTGTTATGTGATATCAGTTAAAGCCTCATGTCTCAGGCACGAAGGGAAGGCTTCGTAGCCAAGGTGATGCACTTTCTAGAAACCTGTAATGCACTTGACCTCAAAATGAAGTCATGCATCATTGACATCTATAGGACAACTTGAACTCAGTATTTGGTTGAGGAAATAATAAACATCAATTTTTTTTCATTACGAGCCAATTTTTGCCAAGTGTAGAAGACGTCTATACAACAATTAAAAATCTACATGGTCTGATATTATATATGCTAAAATATTGCAAGCCAACAGCATATCTAAATATATCTCTCAAAGACAAGAGCATTATATATCTCTTCAATAATTCAATAGGTACAGAGATAAGAGGCCATTAGTTTATAATTCCTGATAAGCAACACTTGTACATGCTCGAAATATAAACCCTTTTTTAAAAAACAACTATATGTACAATTTTTGTTCTTTTATATCAAATTTATAACATGTAAAGCTTAAAAATATTACATTACTAGAAGTATTTAATGTCAATGTATTAAATATCGTCCTGATTGTCAAGTTTTGAAAATGGGAAACGCAAATGTTTTGACAATTGATAAGACATATTCCTAATCATTAAACAAGCTATATTTTAAATAAAACACATCAAAATGTACTAGTTAATAAATAAAATCCATATATACTATTTTATAAGGTTTATTAATAAAACACGTTAATAAAACCATTGAACTTGAAATGTACTTCAGTAGTGTCACTTTTTAAATTAAAATATCACAAAATTATAAATACAAAAGTAAAATTCGTTTGTTTAAATTAAGCTTCTTGTGTATAATATGTGTCAGTAATCAATAAACTCACTTACTTTCTTTCTTCATCTTTGTTAAGGACGACATATCGCTCTTTTCTGCAAATTTGCTGAGCTGAAAGCACTTTATAAATAGAGCAATTTCACATCAGGCATTGTCTGGTCTAAAGTGCGTGTCAGATTTCTGCCTCTGTACTTCAAACCACGCACCAAATTTTCCATTTTAATCCTCTTTCGTATACTTAAAGAAATCACAAGTCATCTCCAAGCGTCATTCTCACGGAATCATGCAAGGGTTTCGCAAAATAAAGCATTTTCTGAGCACTAGTTGTATAATTTTGTTCCCATTGTTGTTGTTATTTGAGCGAAGCGATGACCGGAAACTGGAAACGAATTTAACCTAATTAGTATTCATAAACAAAGAATTAACCGTCGTTTGCGTCCGAGGATGAACACTTGCAGATAAAAATGTTTCCTATTTTATTGCCAACCTCGTACCCAGGTTTCTGCGCAATAACAATAGCAACAAGAACAAGAACGTTACTAGCAATAATAACAATAACACAAACAACAATAGAAGCAACACAGTAACATCAACAACAGCGAAAACAATCAATAGCAACAACAAACAACAGCAACAACACATGAACACAACAGCAACGACACATGAACACAACAGCAACGACAAACAGCAACAACGAAAACAATCAATAGCAACAACACACAACAGCAACAACAACAACGAAAACAATCAATAGCAACAACACACAACAGCAACAACAACAACGAAAACAATCAATAACAACAACACAACAACAGCAGCAACAACAACAACGAAAACAATCAATAACAACAACAACAAACAACAGCAACAACACATGAACACAACAGCAACGACACATGAACACAACAGCAATGACAAACAGCAACAACGAAAACAATCAATAGCAACAACACAACAACAGCAACAACACATGAACACAACAGCAACGACACATGAACACAACAGCAACGACAAACAGCAACAACGAAAACAATCAATAGCAACAACACACAACA